CTCCCTCCTCCTCAGCTGGCTCAGGTTGCTTCTGTGAGAGATGGGTCTCTCTGTGTTACCTGGCAGCAGCTGGGTCTGGCCTTATATCATTCCTCTTGAGCAACCTAAAGAATGGGGCTTTCCCCACCAAATCTGCTTAGAAAACTCCTAGAAAACTGGGACTGATGAGCGTGGGATTCCTCCCTGGGGTGCACTGTAACCAGGACAGGCTGGGTCATAAACCCAACCTCTGGTGCGGCCAGAGAGCAGCCCCTCTGGCAGGCAGCCCCAATGAGCACCTGTGTGGTTGGGGGGGGTGGGCAGCCCTCCTCCACAGGAAGAAGCGTGCTGCTTCCAGGAAAGGGGAGAAGCCCTGCTGAGCAGACAAAACAAGTGTAGACTGTGGGGCTCGGTTCCCTCAGGGGTGTAGATGCCATGTTCTGCATGTTATGCACCGCGGGAAGGGAAGCCTGGCAGAGGTGGAGCTGGAGGATGGTCGAGACGGTGTGAGGGACCAGGTGCAGGAACAGAGAAGAGGTGTTGGGTGGGGCTGGTGGAGTCAGGAAGCCAATGGCCTGGGCCTGGAGCTGGGGTCTGGGAAACAGGTGCAGGACTCGCAGGTGCCTGGGAAGGTCCAGGACTCAGGGTCAGAGGCGGGATAGCGTGGTGGAGAGGCCAGGCCTTTCAGGGTGCTCAAGTCAGAGGTCTAGGATGAAGGGCCGGCTGGGCAGTGAGGGCAGGCACTCTGCCCTGGGCCAGAGGCTGTGTGCAAGGAGCAGCAGGTCCACTCCACCCCCAGCTCGGACCTTGTGAGGAGGTGGGCAGGGGGTCAGAAAAGAGACATGACTGTGAGTCTCCCAGGGAATGACCTGGTCATGGACCGGGTGCACTGGCCAGCGCCCAACAGTGCAGCTGAGGGGCCAGGCTCGGAGGCGGGCCGGGGAACCCCTTCCTAAAAGATCAGGGTGATGCTCTGTTGGGGCCTGTTCCTCGTCTGTACCATGTGAGGTCGGGGGGCCACTCACGGGCTCCTGCAGACGCTGGCTTCCCCTGCTCACCCCTCCCCCTCCGGGAAGCCTCCCCTCTGGGGACAGACCGAAGCTGAGGAGCACAGACTCACCGAGCCTGCACGCTCATTCAGCCGCTGTTCCTGAGGCTGCTGTGTGGGTTTGCTATTGCTGCGTAACATGGTTCCACACATGTAGTGGCTTAAAATAGCAACACTTACTCTTATTATCACCCGACTTCCAGCAGTCACGTCTGTGTGGCTTAGCTGGCTCCTCCAGTCCGGGCCTCCCAGGCTGCCGCACAGCCAGGCCAGGCCGCAGTCCTTGAGCTCAAGGGCCGATTCCCAGCTCCTGTGGTCTGAGGTCTGAGGGCCTTGCTCCCCGCTGGCTTCCAAGGCCAGCAGGAGGCACCCACTTCAGGAAGGGCCAGGCCTTCTTTCAACGGCCTACACCTAAGTCAGGCCCACTCAGGAGAATCTCCCCTTTGATTATCTCAAAACCAACTGATCCGGGCCTTCATTACACATGCAAGATCCCTTCCCCTTTGCCAGGCAATGTAAGCTACTTACGGGAATGACGTGCATCATTTTCAAAGGCCCCGCCTCACTCAAGTGGGGCATTATACAGACACGCACACAGGAGTGAGGTCCTGGGTGCCATCTTAGACTCTGCCCACCACGCCTACTCATGTCTTGGCTATGCTGGTGCCAGGGTTACAGCAGGGAGTCGGAGCACGGCGCAGCACTCGAGGCCTCACTGGCAGCTGCAGATCAGACGAAGGTAGACCGTTCCTTTCCTCCCATTTCTGCTAGGAATCGCAGTTCAGTAAGCGCATTTCCTACCCTGGGCCTGACCTGCAGGGAACAGCATCACTGAGCTTTCATGACGCCACTGAATTGCTTGTCACTCTGAGTCTCCCACAGCACAGACAGGTGCGTGGTGTCCTGGCCTTATGTACTGTTTCCACTGTTTTCACCTTTAATTCGTTCCTCCATCATTCATCTCAGCGATTTTGGCATTGAAATTCCACATAGTGCAGGCCACCACTTTTTTCAAGCTCCAAATGCCAACCTATAAACATATTAGACCCGCATCCCGGTGTACATGCTGCCTGGTGGGAAAGTGCTTCTGCATTGACAAACTCTCCCTCATCCAACTGTACCACCTGGCCCCTTGGTCACACCCCAAGGGTCTTCCCTGGCTGGGTGATGTGGTGCCAAAGTGATGGTGAGTAGATCATGAGAGAGACGTGTTGTTTGCGCCATCCTGAAGCCAAGTGGCAGGGAGGGACATGGGCCACTTCCTACGGCCCAAAGCACGCAAGCAGGTGTCAGGTTTTAAGGTCTCAAGTGCATCAACCAAGATGCTCCCATCCCAAGTCTTAGGGCCGGACTCCTCTTCAATAGGGGCTGGCTTTGGCATGGCAAACTTCCTGAGGCTGAGAAATCCAGCCGTCACTGGAACTCTGCTACCTTCATGTCTAAGTCCTGGCCCAACTGCAGCTGCTGTAAGAGATGAGGGCTTGTTTATATGCGGCCAAGAAGGCTCTCTGATTTGTACACTTTGCCTTCCACTAGTGACTAATCACCCTCAACCTTTCATTATCAGCCTCCCATGAACCCATCTCACTCAGCAAGAGCCAGCACTTCCATTGTCTTTCTAATCAGCACTCTCCTGAGCCTTTAAAATGTGAGTATTAAACCCTCCACTTCACCACTGCACATGCCAAGGGCCGTCCTGGCTCCAGTTACCCCAGGAATCGAGTCCTCTTTGCCCCTGGGCGGGAGATGCCTCAGCTCCCACCGTGGAGCCCACTTTCTCACATCACCCCGACAGTCCTCGGTCAGGTGTCCTAGAAACATGCACGGGGATAGAATTGAGCATGCAGAGATGTGTGGGAGAGTGCTGGTGGGAACCAGACTGTCACGGGGAGGAGGTGAAGTGATGAAGCTGCAGCAGGGGTTTCAGCAGAGCCCCCGGGGCGTCCTGGAGCCAGCGGGCCCTGCAGGGCTGTCTTGCCGTGGGGTAAAAGGCCAGGCCTTGGCACCCTTCAGGGCCTCGTCACTGCATTGGGGCCGTCCCTTTGAGGCAATTCTTGGGGAGGGATGCAGCTGTGAGCCAGCCAGCCACAGACAACTGTCCTGGCCACTGGAGAATGAGAGCCTGGGGCCTGGGGCCTGGAAGGGAAACTGGGTGTGCACCCAGCAGGTCTGTAGGAAAGCCACAGGAGGCACGGGATGTGTGCTGAGAGCAGGTGGGCTCTCTGAGTTCTGGGGCACAAGAGGACTGCACGGGGAGACTGAGGAGACAGGCTGAGACTGGCAGGCCAGATGACAAGGTCTTAAATGCCAGGACAAAGACTCGAGGCTTTGCTCCTCCTGCAAAGGTTTTGATAAGATTATTTTGGGGTTGTAAGGAGACTGTGCAGCCCCTAAGGGGTCTCAATCCCTGAGTGCCCCTTTTGGCTGCCTCTCCCACAGAAGTCTCCTAACTGGCTTGGTCTGGCCAACTCACACCCACCACTGTCCCCTCCCCCGAGTCGGCTCCCTTCAAATTGTCACTCCCCACAGTGCAGCATTCATGCACCAGTTCTAAATAGTCCCACTGTTCCACTTGAAGGAGAAGTAATACCAATTCCCATGTTTGCTCAGAGAGCACCATATTTCATCAAACCAGAGCCCATGCTGGCTCAGATTTCTGACTGAGACAATGTTCTGTAATCCTGGTTTATTCACATGTCACGAGTATTTTAGCAAAACAGAAATGAATGGCCCGAGCCACCCCAGGAAGTAGCGGGAGAGCTGGGTTCCGCCCAGGGGAAGTCAGGCCTTCTCCTGCCACAGTCCTCCAGGGAGCTGACTTAGATTCTCGAAATTTCTCCCAATTTTAAGAAAGAGAACTTGGGCTGAGAAGGAGTCACAAAGTGGGTAGTTATTTCCCTATAAAACGGTAACTCCACGAATGGATATTGCCGGAGCAAAAATACAATCTGTCATTGATTATAAAGTCCTTTGTGCTTGTTATTTCGCAGATTTATTACACTTGGGCCCAGAGGCCTGGGGGCCCTGGGATTCTGCCTCTCGCACCCCAGCAAACCTCCGGCCGCTTTTTCACAACCCATTCCCCAAATGCGAACAGGGATCTCTGGCATTTCTTTTGTCCTAATGGCCATGAACTTTGGAAAACTAGACGAAGAGCTATGTGAATCCCCCTCCGTACCACAGGGACCTACAGTACCAATACTAAGGCTCATTGGCAGAAGTCTATGACTTCCTAATCAGGGAAACCTTCTCTTTCCTTTTCCTTTTTTTTTTTCCAGCTCCTGGCACTGTGTGCTAAGAAATGCATTTTATCTGCAGAGCAAGGAATGAGCAGGCTGCACCTCCATCAGACCTGGAGTCTGGGTTCACATTAAATAGGCTAAAACAGGAGCCGTGCTATTTAGTCCCATCTCATGTTAAACCTTATCAACGAGCCTCATAATATGGAACTCTTGTCCCCACTTTAGAGTTGAAGAAACTGAGGTGCAGAGAAGGCACATATCTTGCTTGAGGCCATACAGCGAGGTGTGCTGGTGAAAAGAGGGACACGAACCCAGTCCCAATTTGCTCCGAAGGATCATGTAGCCCCTCTCACTTCAAGAACAGGTTGATATGAGGCCACAGACCCAGGCCTAGAGTGTGGGAGCTGAAAGAGAGCCCGGGGGCCAACCTTTTCATTTAGACAGGAGGCCACTGGGGCTCCAAAAAGTGATGGGGCTGAGCAGGGTGACAGAGCTAATCAGAGGCACAAACCAACTCTCCAACAAATTAGCTGGACAATAGCATAAAACAACTGTTCTGGAACATCCCAGGTTGTGTAACTTGGGAAAAGGTTCCAGATGAAAGCAAATGAAGGTGCTTGTCAGAACTGTCCAGAGTTGGCCTTCTCCTTTCCTCCGGCGTAGAACTTCGTGACTAGCTCTGTACTCCTTCCTCTGGGTTTTCTGAGCTTAAGGAACCCCTGCTATCCCAGAGTGTGCAGCAGAGAGTCCTGGAAAACTGAGGGCCCCCCAAAACCTCTCACCTCCCTGGAGAGTGCACTCTCCACCGCAATTGGCAAGTTCAAGACCTCAACACCCGGTAAGACTAGTTTCTGATACTCCTGGGACTGAGGTAATTTTAGGAGGAAGCTGTCAGAAATCACAGCTCTCAGGACTTGAATCCACAAGTTGAGTCTGCCATCTCAACTTTTATTTTGAGCTGCAGCTCAAGCTATTAAAAACAAAACATTCTCACTGGCAAGCTCCACAATTAGCCTCATTTCCACGAGCTGTTCTGCATGAGCTGAAATTGCACAGCAATTGTTTCCCATCTTAGCAATGCTATTTGCAGGCCGTGCTGGGAGCCAGCAAGGATGTGACCCGGTGGTAATCTGAATTGCTTCACCAAACACATTTTTATCCCATCATCTCGGCTACATGAAAGGGGGCCATAGTGCTGCAGTGTTCAGACTTTACAGTCCCGCTGTTCAGCAATAAAATGAGGCAAGAAATATTAGCCGTCCCCGGCTGATGCCTTAATTCTTTCCCAACAATGTCAGAGAATCTGTGCCCAACGGGTTTTAGTGCCGGCTAAAGCCTGACCCTCTGGCTGGCTTGAATGGAGCGGGAATGAGTTAAGGAGAGTAAGAAGGCTTTAAGGGACACAGATCCAGAATAGCCCAGCTTGTCCCAGCCTCCTGCCGACTCCTCTCCTTTTCACAGGACTCGATTGTGTATGGCCCCAGTAGAGACAAAATACCCCTGAGCAGAGGTTACCCCCAGCTGGTACAGGTCAGAGGCATTCTGGGGCAGAAGGGGAGGGGGCAGAGGGGAAGTGAGGGGCACATACAGAGGGAGGGAGGCGGGTGGGTGGAGGAGGGAGAGGTAAGACAGAGTGGAGCATTTACAAGGAGAGAGTCATGGTGTCCAGGACTGGAACTTGATCACTGCACCTCCACACTCTTTGAAAACTGGTTCAGAAGTTGGGTGCGATGTGTACTAACTAAAAAAATGCTTCTCTGTAGTTTTCCAAAAGCTACAGGCCCAAAGTTCCAGGCTTGCAATAGGATGGCCTCTCATCTGACATGGCAAGGTTTTTTAAAATTACAAATGGATTGTGTTTTACACACCAACAGAAGCTTTTTCCAGCAATGTTTCAATTATTGCCTTGTGAGTCCTCCAAGAAAAGGAACCATTTTGGCTCAGGAAGCCCAAAGTTACCCAGCGAAGGGAACAGCGTGTTCACAAATAGTCCTTTGAAACGTGGCAGGGGCCGCATCCGGGACCCCCGGGAGAAGGTGGCTTTGGGAGGCCCTCCGTCCCTCAGAAGGATTCGTAAACTCTTTGGCGGGCCTTGGACTCCTTCCTCAGTCTGAGGATGCTGTGCAGTCTTCCTCAAAAGGAATGTTTTTAACAGGCAAGGTAATAAAAGAAGCCGTTACATTAAAATGTCTTCATCAAGACAACATTAAAAACAACTTTGCAACGTAGTAATATATATGCCTTTTAAATTACTTCATTAAATAACTAGCAGAGGGCTTAACTACTTTAATCTTTAAAAAGTGACAAGCCAATAAGATACTTTGAGAAATCTGAAACAACTCCCATGATAGGAAAATATCTGTGCTTGGTGGTTATTGGTGACAAAGTCGCTATGGTGTGGTTGGCTGGCTGCCTTTCTAATATTAGGAAATGCTACGTTTCAGTTACAGGCTAGTGAAAATAAAGATGCAATTCCCCCATTCAAATTCCCAGGCCCCGGAGACTCTATGCATAGAGGGGAAACCCTGCGAAAGGCAAGGGTCCAGGACCTCCTGCCAGGACTGAGCTCAGGCCGTGGCTGGGAATTCAGGGCACCGGCACTTCATCCAGAACCCTCCTTGGGCAGCCATTGCTTCCCTCTGCTATCCTGGCGTTTCGGGGAGGTTTTGTGAAGCCATTTGAAACCATGTCCTTTTGCAGTACAGTCCGATGATTACCTGTCCCAAGTCCAAATGTTAGCCAGGACCTTTGATGTGTTCCTTCAACAACTCGAATCCGTGTCTCCAAATCCAGGGTCAGTTAATCCCCTAATTCTGAATGTTAACCTGGATCGTGTTTCAGTTGCCCTGCGGGCTGAGCTTGGGGGTAGGGATTTTCATTCTCCAAGGCTGCCCTGGAAGGGTCGGTCCGGTTCCCTCACTGTTCCCTCACGCTTGCATTGGGGACACAGTGGCTCAGAGGCAATTGGGCGCACACTCATCACCTCTCTGGTCCTCACGGGGGAGCTGTCATCTTGCAACCACTTCCTAGTAGTCCTCGCATGCCATTGCAGGGGCAACCCGGCAGGCGGCCCCTCCGGCTCCCCC